CCTGCCTTCTTCCTCATCCATGCAAGTACCTGGATCGCGAACCTTCGTATTTGTTCAAGAAAAAAATGTCTTGTTGTGTTAAGAAAGGTTGTCAATTATAGAATAATTTTAAACACCCTCAGCAGTTGTACTTCCGCCTGGGTTTTCCACACTACATACTATATCTTTTTTGTATGAGGAAAATCATATATTTGTGTACCCTAGTTAAAAGGTGCTAGATAGGACCTACAAACCTTTGCAATCAATGCGGCTCATATTGCATACTTCATAAGCGGCATTAATAAACTAACAGATGAAATGATCCATTAATAGACATTTCGTGATCCTAAAATATCTTAAATTTAACGATTTTCAAACCAAAAGATCGCTTTTTCAAGTAGGAACTTTTAGCAGGACGTAATTTACCACCGAATGATTACGAAAAGGATATTATAACTGGGGGTTTTATGACAAATACTGGGGCTTGTAGGGGGTATCGAAAACCGGTGTGTAAATTTCATGCTAAGGTTTGTAGAGTATGGCGGCTGCCGGAAAGAAGCTCATCCAAAAGTCGGTATGCTGCCGTGATTGATGTAGGTTGGAATTATTTTACACAAAAATAAATTTGAAATCCCAACTTACAGTAGGTTCCCTAACAGGTTGCCAACAGTGCCTAGGGAGTTTTTCACTTCTGCTGCTCTTTTAACTCAGTTCCATGTACAGGTATCGCCACTCTTTTGAAATGTTCTGCTGAACCAATGCATTCCATAGCTGCTCTGTACCAATAGGGAGTTCAACGACATTTGCCCTTAAGAAACCTGACCTGACCTATCTCATAAACTGTCAACCGAAATACTGCAGTGTTTCGATTCGAACAAATTCCTTAAGTAGGGTTGTAGGATTTATTATTGTAACATGTACTCTCAAAAAATTTCAGTAACATCGATGTGTAAGCTTTTAAACAGGCTTCCTTCTGACTTCTAAAAAGAACACACTCTGTAAAAAGACTAATAAATTAGTGCAACTTTTCTCGTCGATCCTCGCTGGCCCGATAAATTCAAGTATATTTCATAGAACAAAATATTATTTCCTGTACTCGTTTGGTAGCAAATTATGTCCTTCTCAAATTTACTACTAGAAGAAAGGGTGCATTATAAAAAAAACTTTCCAAATGGCTGGGTTATTTTGAAATCTACTGGCCTTTACTCTTGCACTAAAATCTTGCAAACTGCATGCCGTATGCATTCCGTTTAAGAAAAATGACGAATTTATCTACGCTATCAGGAAGACCTCAGATAGTCCTCGTAAAATGCTGCGATGGTTGTAGATCGGGTCGTATGATTTGTGGGCACCGTTAATAAATTGATGAATGTCATTTAGTATGAGTGAACTTTTAGCGGCCCAAAAATTTGTCACTTTAAGTTATTTTAAAACCGCACGATACTCTTTCTTCATCTGTAAAGTTAGAAAAAAGCCTAATTTTCTACCAAAGGAGTAAACAAAGTAATATGCTCATGCATCTTTTCTATAAAATGTCTTAATTTCTAATGGCATCGTAATCCAATGTGACAAAATTATACTATTTAAGCAGCAATTTTTTAAAGCTTATGCTTGCAGATGATTAAAAAGAACTTCTTTCAAAAGCCGGCATTCCTTCTTTGGGATTAGTCTGTATGATAAATCACATAACTTTTACACTTAGTTCCAATGGAAAACCCGTTCGAGAATTTCGATTGGCATTGCATGCAATAAAGAATTTCCTCTAAGTAATATTCTCTTTGTAAAAATAAAATTTCAGTTTTCTTGTCAACATTTAAAGAGATGGGTCACGTCGTTGTAAAGGGGCTTTCTGACGCCTCTAGGGTACGGCAGTCCATAAATTACATAGCGCACTTTGTCTGTAGCATCGACGAACCTGTAGATCTTGGAATATGCTATTAATAATGCATGTTCTCCAAGAGTATCTAAATTACAAAGCCGAAAAGCATCCCCCCTTCAAGTTTAAAATGTAAAAACTTGACCTGAAAAAAAAAAAGACAACAACATAACGAAGGCGTTTTAAACATGGTCGCATTTCTGTAGTAGAGGGCTTCGATACTCTACTCTGCGTGGACACTCTTGGTCGTTTATGCTGCCAGCAAATGGAGTTGCATTTTCTTCAGAGAAATGCAGATCCTGAAATTCTGTGGATCCATGCACTTCTTGGTACTAAGTTACTGACCCATTCTGCTTCACCTTTGCGTGCACTCTCAGTTAGATCTTTTTTTGTTATCGATCAGCCAGTTTACTGGATTGATGCTTTGTTTAGATAATGCACGCGACCTACTGCGAATGAAGGATTCCGCGTGGTAACGAGTCCTGTGTTTATCAAAGTTCCTCCGACCGAAATCATTAAAATGCACTTTATCTCAGCACTCCTCTATCGGTTTGTTTTGAGATTGCCCTAACGTGGACTGCCGGCGCCGTTCGTATGAGCAAATAGCAACGACCAAGCATTTGGTGCAGAAGGAACAGTTACAAAGACTAGGAGAGTTGGGATATTTATGCGTAATTAGACAGCCATATATCAATCCATACGACCGGCATTTTTGACTCGAGGGCCTGATGGCCGTTCGTATGAGTATACAAGTCGTAAATCTTACCGGCCTTGACTTGGGACATGACTTACAAGCTCTGTGTGCATCCCGATAGGGGATGCACGGACCCCATTTCGCACCCGTCTGGCAGCTGCCTATTTATCCGCCGCGGACTGCTCGCGCATCATCACTATTCTAGCAGATTCGATGTGACTCTTGTGTGAATTTAATGACGAGGGCATGCACAGCACTTCATTTGCCTCAACACTCCCACACCCTGCCCCTACGTCTCGGTGAAAAGGTGAAGTGAAAACGATGGGTACTGCCTGTGTGTAGTCGCTGATTGGAACATTCGCTTCAGCCCTCTAGTGTACTCCACACTTGCCATATTTGAACCTCGGATCTCGGCAGCTGACCCAACGGATCCAGAAATGGTGATTCTAGTCTCCCCTTTATTACTTCAATAATAGTTTTAAACAGAAGGTATAATTGCTATTTTTAGTTGAAAAGTGATCAAGGCCCCTACCTCAATATGCATAACTTTTGTCAGGATCTGAATGGAAGGCGTTCCGTGCTTCCATATCTTATCCATACTCTTCAACCACTTAAATAAAGTATCTTGCTTTTATCACCCGTAATTTTCTCCCTCAAATCAGCTGAGGTTATCTGTTCACTCTGTTTAATGATCGGTTGACAAAGAAGGACTTATTTTTAGACAAAAATTGTCCCCAACATTATCGCATGTAGTTAACTTAGCGATCTTTTCCCTTTCCCTTTGTGCTTGTCTCTCGCAATCCCTTATTTTCTTATTCGTACCTGTACTTTAAAGTGGCAACGCGGATCAACTGAAGGTCTCAGTATCGGCCTTTTCATGTTTGCTCTGCTGGGCAACGCCACCTACGGTTTGCAGATTTTCCTCACCTCCACGGACACCCTCTTCCTCCTGCACTCGTTACCCTGGCTTTTGGGCAGTGTAGGCGTGCTCCTATTGGATCTCGTGGTAAGCATTTCTTCCACCCGCTCTGGTGATTAAAGTTTACCGATTCTTCTCGTATGGTTGCGCGGGAAGCAGCAGTTCCGTGTGCGGGTGTAGGCTATTTGTTGAGGAAGACTTGCACGCTGTCGATCTAACTACCAGTGCTCGCACTGACCGTGTTCCCACGGTTTGACCAATTGGAGGAGGCCTAGGTAGTGGTGATGCCTAGAGCACTACAATCATCAGGCCGAATCGCAGGCTGTAGGTTAAACGCTGAAGCCATCAGACTGCGGATTTTATTCT